TGTTTTTTGAATCTTCGTTTGCATAATGAAAAGCAATTAATAGCATTTGATATAGGTTTACAGATTTTCTTTTCTAATCATAGCGAAGAAATTCATAATGTACCGACAGAACCGATTGTTGAACATAGATTCACTAAATGGATGCAGCACTTGAGCTTGTACACTATTGCAGTTAAAACAGATGAACAAGTTCCATGAGGAATTGATGAAACTAACAGATGGTTTGTCTGTATAAACGGACAGGTGACGCGTCTCAAGTGCGGCGGAATTGTCTTTGCCATCCGTCTGAACCACACCATGAGTGACGGTACTGGCATAAACCAGTTTTTGTCAGCCATGTGTGAGATGGTGCATGGAGCACAGACTCCCTCTATCCAACCAGTTTGGGAAAGGCACGTTTTAAATGCAAGGAACCCACCTCAGGTAACCTGCTTACACCACGAGTATGATCAACTGGTTGATGACACCACTGACAACGTTCCGCTTACTAAGAAGACCCATCGTTCATTCTTTTTTGGACCTGCTAACATATCTGCTATTCGTGGCTTTGCCCCACTACACCTTCGCCATTGCTCCACATTTGATGTATTGACTGCGTTTTTGTGGAGGTGCCGAACCATTGCACTTCAACCAAACCCAAATGATGAGATGCGGATGCTATGCATTGTCAATGCTCGCAATAGATTTAACCCTCCGTTACCTAGAGGTTATTATGGAAATTGCATAGCATACTCAGTGGTGAGGGCAACAGCGGGAGAAATCTCACGAAATTCTTTAGGCTTTACGCTGGAATTAGTCAGGAAGGCCAAGGCGAATGTGACTGAAGAGTACATGCGATCAGTGGCTGATCTACTGGTGATTAAAGGTAGACCTTGTTACACAATGGTGCGGTCTTACCTAGTGTCGGATGTGACTCGTGCAATGTTTGCAGAGATGAACTTAGGATGGGGTAAGCCGAAGTATGCCGGGCCTGCTAAGGGTAATGTGGCAAGCTTTCAGATACCATATAGGACTAAGAAAGGAGAAGATGGTGTTCTTGTGACCCTTTGCTTACCGACTCCTGCTATGGAAAGATTTGTGAAGGAGCTGGATAGCACGTTTAAGGAGCAGTCAAATGGTGGTGGCAATGCTAAATCCCCCTTATCTTCCTTGTAGGGAAAATAACTATTTTTCCAAATGATATAAATGCATGCCTATTGTGTTCATTTGCTTTGAGTTCATGTGGAGAATCTATCTGGATTTGTTTTTGGATCACGTTAACTATGACACAGAGCACCATCTTGGACAAGTAACTCCTTCAGCTTTTTCTATATTTATTTCAATAAATGCTTCTGTTGATTGGTCTTGGACATATAATCTGTGATAGTTTCCTGTAAAACCTGGATTAGGTCACTTGCTACAATGGATGGGCAGGGAAGCTGTTCTACAAGAACCTCCTAGCTAATAGACGCAGCAGACTGGTTTCATGAGGATATGTTCTTCATTTTCTAACTTGTGGACCTTACCTGTGTAGGATTCTTGTATTCTTGTTTCATCTAACTTGTCTTCTGACAGTGAAATTGCCTGCAAATTATCAACTCTTCCTTTTTAACAGCAAGTAGTTGCTGTTCAATTTGAGTAAGTCCAGTATGTGCAATTGAAGGCCTTATGCTGGACTTGCTTGAAGCAGATGAGGCATGCAACTTGTGTGTTTGATTTTATGCCATGAGGTATTTTTTAAAATTATTTGAGATGATATCAGAATATTTTTATTATCAAATAGTTATGAGATTAAATCTTATTATTTTATTTTAATTTATAAAAATTAAATATAATATAATATAATTTTATATAAATAATTTTTTCAAGTTCAAATAATTTTATATAAATAATTTTATTTCATTTAAAAGGATATATTTAAAAAATTTTCTTTTATTTTTATATTTTAACTCTAAAATAACTAGACTTAACACTTAAAACTATGATTCACTCTATTAAAGTAGATTGACTTTAATCATTAAACAACTTAATAGTTAAAAAACACAACAATATCTTAGTTTGTATCAGAAAAATAAACAATGGAGCTTACCTTAGATGGAGTGTATTAAAAGTGATACGTTCTTTTTATACATAACTAGTTCTCTTATTTAAACTTTAAAATTAATTAGAGTTTTTAATAACCAAAATATTAGAGGACAACTCTATTCCTTGTTTTTTCTATCCATTATTAAAAGATTCCGGTCCATAAGGATATTTTCTACAATGCCAATGCCATACACGTGCAACAAAAATGATAAAAACTTTTCTCTCTTATACCATTGAATTTAAAACCAATTAAGAAATTTGTAATATAATATAAGAGCATTAAAAAATTAAAATTATTTAGTCCTCTAATATGGAACTAGTTTTACTATAGATTACAATAATAAATTGATGATCTTATCTTTCATAACAAAGAATAATGAACTAGTTATTAATAGTTAAATTATGTTTTTTATAAATTCATTTATCATTGTTATATTCATTGGATTTATCATTGTTATATTCATTGGAAATGCATTGGTCTTTTTATATTTTAGATACATCGTGAAATAACTTAAATAGCTTTAAAAGTAAAAAAAAATAAAGTTGGGCATAAGAACTTTTTGGTTTTTTAACAATTTAATTGTACAATGTAATGAGTAAATACTTTTAAAAATAAAATACTAGCATCTAAGGGCATGTTTGTATTTTTCTAATTGTTTTTTAGTTATATTCATCTAAAATGAGAGACAATTCAGTCTTTCAACATATATAAATATAATTAAAAAAAATAAAAGTAGTTAGTGCATGTTATGCATACACTAATGAGTAGAGACACCTTATTCTTTTGATTGTTTTTTTTTTTTATATCATTTTCTTGATTTTATTTTCAGTTTCATTTCTTGTTGTTTTATTTTATTTAGTTTTTATACTAGATTTAATCATTATTCTTTTGATTGATATTTGTTTTGATTTTAGAATTTGGATAATTGAGAATGTTGCTTCATGATTTTTTTAGATTCGCCTGCTATAAGTTAACCTGATTTCATGTCCTGTGTCATGAGTTTTAAATATTAACATGATTTGACTTTAGTTTTTTTAGTTTTTTATATTGTTTTTATCATTTAACATTAGATTAGCGGGCTTCCATCTTTGTGATTTTTTCCGCTTCCCTTTCTATAGGATTATTACGATCACAAATCTCAAGTTGTAAGTTAGTCGAGTTAACTAGGGTTGATTCAAGTTTTTTCATTAATTTTTTTAATTTTATATTGTATTTTATTTTTAATTTTTTTATATGAGGTTATCTCAACTTCACAATCAGACCATTAATTTGACATGTTAATTCGAGTCAGGTTATTTAATATCTTTTAAAATTGATTTTTTGAAATTGATTTTTTAATATTTTTTTTTTTTGTAATTGAGTTTTATATATATTTTTTAATTTTTATAAAGTTAATTTAACCTAGCCCATGTCATTACACACGTGTATATGAGAACACGTTGCTATGCCTGAGGTGGGATATATATTCCAACTATTTTGATTAAAAATGTTTGAATAAAATTTTCTTGCTACCACTCCACGTGACATTCTCTCGTGTGGCTATTAATAATTGTTTCATAACTTTTAGTTAATGAAATCTTTTATTTTATCATCAACCTTGTTCATGATTGTATTTTCCTTAGCAGTTAATTTTAAATCCTAGAATAATTAAGAAATAAAAAAAAATCTCAAAATATTTTACGAGTCACACAAACATGTGTATGTGTTTTTGTTGCCCCGTTATGTAAACAAATCTTTTAACTTTGGGTTTCAATTTCAAGGATAAATTACAAAAAAAAAATATTATAGATACCTTGAAAATTTTAATCTCTATGCTCTGATTATTAAAATAAAAAAATCATAACATTGCATTATTGAAAAAGAAATTAAAATATTTTTTCACGTATTGAATTGATTAAAAGTTAGATGATGATGAAGAAATTATTTTCATAAAAATTGCTTGAATAATAGATACTTTAATTCGGTTTCATTAACAATAGATAAACTGTATCATAAATTTATTTTGTTTAAAAACTCGAGAAATACACAAAGTTTATATAAACTCTTATGATTTCACAATTGCACGATAGCTTTTGCTGAAAAAATAAGTAGAGTTTTCTAATGAAATTGGATAAGAAGTTATAAAGAATTGAGATCAATCGAAATATGAATTTAAATATTTTCTTTATATATATATATGTTATTTATTTAGCTGAAACATACTCTTAATATATATGTCATGAAATAATGATTGAAAATAAACAAGTTTCAAATATTTATATATTTTATTAAATTCAATTTCTTATATTCTAAAAAATAAGAATTCACATATTTTGTAGGAAGTATACCAAAGTTTAAATCCCCAACAAAGTGTGAGTTAATGGGTAGCTGAAAGCTTAACTCAGTCAAATAATTTTTTTTTATGTTGAAGTTGTTAGATACTTCACATAAATAATGAGCACATAAATAATGAGTTTTTCTTGGATTTTAATCTTATGTTAAGACATGAGCTTACTTGTAAACTTTGTATTTGAACTTTAGTATTCTTGAAAAAATAATTATCTTATGCAAACAGAGATTCTTTAATATTTCAATTAGTAAATACACGAGAAAAATAAAAAAATAAAAATTAAATTACAATTTGAATAATATTTCAAGTTATATCAAGAGAAAAAAGAAGAAGCCAGTTCTAGTGGACTAAAAAATAATATCTTTTTATTAATATAAATATTTGAATTAAATTACATATATTTCAATTAATTTTACTGATTTTAAAATTCATGATGGGCATAAAAGGGTTAATATCCACCTGGTTCTTGGCAGAAGCGACTCTATAAAGTGGCTGTTTGGAATTATTTATTTTTGTATTTATTTTTTAAAACTCTTTTCCTTTAATTATTGTAAGATGGAGTGGTTCTTCATTTCAGTCCGTTCGAGCACTCGCCCATTCAGAACTGACTTTTATTCCGCTCGTATATTCCTCAGCACAAACAAATTGATTTTTTTATAAGAAAAAGCACCGTCACAATTATTTATTCCTTGTTTAATCTTTGGATGCCGTCTTAAATCTTGATATCCGCTCCCGATAAATATTGGTGTCCGCGTTCAAGATGAACCAAAATAAAAATAAATTAAAAAAAATTATCTCTGGTTCTCTGCCATGGCAACACCTCCCACCCCACTGGTGTTCGAGGTGTCTAGACGGGAACCAGTTCTGATCACCCCTTCTGAGCCAACCCCACATGAACTCAAACCTCTCTCAGACATAGATGACCAAGATGGTCTCAGAGTCCAAATTCCTCTCATTTATTTTTACCCTTACGATCCTTCAATGCAGAGGAGGGATCCTGTTGAGGTCATTAAGAAAGCACTTGCTAAAACACTGGTGTTTTACTATCCATTTGCCGGTAGGCTTAGAGAAGGGCCTAAGCGTAAGCTCTTAGTGGAGTGTACAGGTGAGGGTATTTTGTTTATTGAGGCTGATGCCGATGTTACGCTTGAGCAGTTTGGTGATGAACTCTATCCTCCAATTCCTTGCCTGGAGGAGCTCCTCTATGACGTGCCTGGCTCCAGCGGGATGATAAACTGCCCTCTGCTGCTTATTCAGGTTTGTCCCGTGTATGTTGCTTACTTAGGGATCATCGATTCTATCTTAGTTTACAAAGCAGGATCATCCTTCTGTTTTTTTCTTACACAAAATTAGAGTTCAACTCATGAAACAACACCAGCCAACCAAATTTAACTGTATTTCTCAAGTATGGACAAGTTAAAATGGATGTAGAAGAACAGTACGAGTAGTAAAACTAGCAGCAAAAGAAGAAGATTTGAAAGAGAGAATAATCCTATCCCCAAGAAGAGTCCAAAATGTTTATCAAGCAATGCCAGCCATCGTTGCTTGGTAGAGTATTGGAAACTTATCCTTCAATTTAGCACTTAATGTTTGCAAGAAAAGAATTTAATATTTCTCTATTGTTAAATTTGGTAACCATTAGCGTTAATTATCTTAAATAAATAAAATCATGTTTAATTTTACCAAATTGTGCATCAAAAAAGAATCCAATTTGTTTCTATTCTACTTGTTGCTTCTTTCTTTTTTTCAAAGGGAATATCACATTTATCCATTATATATTTCCACTAGAATAATGTGTGGGGAAGGGGAGGTCTGCATATAATTGAATGGCAGACAAAAGAGCATATGGAAGAGGTGTTTTTTGTTTTTTGAATCTTCGTTTGCATAATGAAAAGCAATTAATAGCATTTGATATAGGTTTACAGATTTTCTTTTCTAATCATAGCGAAGAAATTCATAATGTACCGACAGAACCGATTGTTGAACATAGATTAACTACATGGATGCAGCTCTTGAGGTTGCATATTATCGCAGTTAAAACAGATCAACAAGTTCCATGAGGAGTTGATTAAACTAACAGATGGTTTGTCTGTATAAAATGACAGGTGACGCGTCTCAAGTGCGGCGGAATTGTTTTTGCTATCCGTCTGAACCACACCATGAGTGACGGTACTGGCTTAAACCAGTTTTTGTCAGCCATGTGTGAAATGGTGCATGGAGCACAGACTCCCTCTATCCAACCAGTTTGGGAAAGGCACGTTTTAAATGCAAGGAACCCACCTCAGGTAACCTGCTTACACCACGAGTATGATCAACTGGTTGATGACACCACTGACAACATTCCGCTTACTAAGAAGACCCATCGTTCATTCTTTTTTGGACCTGCTAACATATCTGCTATTCGTGGCTTTGCCCCACTACACCTTCGCCATTGCTCCACATTTGATGTATTGACTGCGTTTTTGTGGAGGTGCCGAACCATTGCACTTCAACCAAACCCAAATGATGAGATGCGGATACTATGCACTGTCAATGCTCGCAATAGATTTAACCCTCCCTTACCTAGAGGTTATTATGGAAATTGCATGGCATACTCAGTGGCGATGGCAAAAGCGGGAGAAATCTCACGAAATTCTTTAGGCTTTACGCTGGAATTAGTCAGGAAGGCCAAGGCGAATGTGACTGAAGAGTACATGCGATCAGTGGCTGATCTACTGGTGATTAAAGGTAGACCTTGGTACACAATGGTGCGGTCTTACCTAGTGTCGGATGTGACTCGTGCAATGTTTGCAGAGATGAACTTAGGTTGGGGTAAGCCGAAGTATGCCGGGCCTGCTAAGGGTAATGTGGCAAGCTTTCAGATACCATATAGGACTAAGAAAGGAGAAGATGGTGTTCTTGTGACCCTTTGCTTACCGACTCTGGCTATGGAAAGATTTGTGAAGGAGCTGGATAGCACGTTTAAGGAGCAGTCAAATGGTGGCGGCAATGCTAAATCCCCCTTATCTTCCTTGTAGGGAAAATAACTATTTTTCCAAATGATATAAATGCATGCCTATTGTGTTCATTTGCTTTGAGTTCATGTGGAGAATCTATCTGGATTTGTTTTTGGATCATGTTAACTAAGACACCGAGCACCATCTTGGACAAGTAACTCCTTCAGCTTTTTATATATTTATTTCAATAATGCTTCTGTTGATTGGTCTTGGACATATAATCTGTGATAGTTTCCTGTAAAACCTGGATTAGGTCACTTGCTACAATGGATGGGCAGAGAAGCTGTTCTACAAGAACCTCCTAATGGACGCAGCAGACTGGTTTCATGAGGATATTCTTCATTTTCTGACTGAAAATATGGTAAAAACCTTGCCTGTGTAGGATTCTTGTTAGCTTGTCTTCTGACAGTGAAATTGCCTACAAATTATCAACTCTTCCTTTTTAACAGCAAGTAGTTGCTGTTCAATTTGAGTAAGTCCAGTATGTGCAATTGAAGGCGTTATGCTGGACTTGCATGAAGCAGAAGAGGCATGGAACTTGTGTTTTTGATTCCATGGTGTAAGGTATTTTTTTTAAATTATTTGAGATAATATCAGAATTTTATTGATCAAGTAACTTTCATTTAAAGGAAAATATGTTATAAAATAATATAAATCTTTTAATAATATAAATTTTACAATCACTATCCAATATATATATATATATAAGGCAGAGCTGTTCAGTAATAGCAAATAAAGTTTTATACAACCACCTTTATTGATATTTATCTTCCTGTTTGATGCTCTGTGATAACTTTTACTATTATATTTAAAAAACATTTTTTTTAGACAATACATTGCAGACAGAAAGTAGACATTAGATATTGATGCATCAAATCACATGACAGTTAAATTAGGCATTCTATAAATAATAATTAATACACGCTTCACTATTTGTATAACTTGAAATAGCCATTTAACTCGTGTTTTCGCTCTAAGCTATAAATTTATTTTTTAAAAAAATATTAGGTATGTAAGTTATTTTTATGTGTTTTTTACGTAAAAAATTTAAAATGTAAATTAAAAATTCAATATAGACATCCAATTAAATAAATTAATAATCATTTATCTAAATAAACATAAAAAAATCAATAATAATTAAAAGTTGTTAATGATAATCAAAAGAGAAATTAAAAAAAGAAAAATTAAAAAATAAGACTTGGTTAATGTTTAATTGAATATCTTGATTTGTAAAAAATAAATTAGTTTTACTTGGTTGTATTTGCTAAATATATTTATTTAACTAATTAAAACAAAAATTTACACTCTAAAACACTTGTGATCTAAAAAATAAATATAAATAAAAATGATTGAATAAACCCAAGACATAATATTTTTGATTTGTTAAACCTTGCATGATATTTTTTTTTATGTAAGAATTAAAATTTTATTTTGAAAAATAAAGTTAATTTGTAATGGAATGATCAAATTGCAAAACAAAAAACTTATATAAAAAGAATAAAAATAAAACAAAAATAAAAAGAATGAATACTCAAATTGACAAATAACAAATAAAAAGGACAATAATGTCTTTTAATTAATAACAAAAAAAATAAAAAATAAAAAAAACTGTCGATGACAATCCAACAATCTTGTTTGACCACGCATCACTCCTTGTGGGAAAAAGACATGGCAAGGCATCTTGAAAATGTAACCAAGAAAAGAGAGCTTAGGAACCGACACCACCGTAGAAAATATGTAACCATGAACTAGGTAAGCATTGATAAGAATGGACAGCTCGTTGAAAATTTTCATTTCCAACAAGTACCAGTCCTCCCACCGAACCAAAATACTAAAGTCTTGTCTTCTTTTGACTTTTGTTTAACGCCATACCTATGTCAGCATCGATTGTTTGAGATGTTTCTGCTGATTTTAAATTACCAGTTTGGATTAACGAGATTAAATTTAATTTGTTTTTGGCGAAGAGTTTAGTTTTTTCTATCCATTTATGTTTTTTGTTGCTCCCATGTTATTTACGTCGTTCCTTTCTGCTTCATCCACCTCCTCCTCCTCTTCCTTTCCAGCTTATTTTACTTTCATTTGACTTTGAATATTGCAACCTGTGTATTTAATTTTACGGTGTTAGATGTTTTTTAAAATTATTTAATATCATATTAGAATCTTGTTAATCAAATAATTATGAATTAAATCTTATTTTTATATTTTAATTAATAAAAATTAAATAAAAAATAATATAATTTTATGCAAATTTCAATTTCAAATAACTTCTATTTAAAGGGATATTAAAGAGAATAATATGAATTATTTAATGATTTATATTTTGCAATTACTAACCCCCTCTTTCTATATATATATATATATATATATATATATATATATATTCTTTTCACACACATATTTTGATTAAATAACAGAATTTGCTGCGTCTCAGATGTGCATTGCAAGCCTTTAATCATGAAATAAGCCCACAAAGTTAATATTTATGATATCTAGCATTGCAAGCCTATTTATAATATTTATGAAATAAGCCCACAAAGTTTCAATTTTTACAAGGCAGAGCTATTTAGCAAATAGAGTTTTATACAACCCCCTTTAATGATATCTATCTTCGTGTTTGATGCTCTGCGATAATTTTTACGATTATAATTTTAATTTTTTTTTAGACAATATCATTGCAGGCACAGAATAGACATTAGATAATGAATTCTCTTTACTTTCGGTCATTAAGTAAGATAATACTAAATTATCTATGAATTATATTTTTCAGTCAGCGCACGAACATTAATTAATTTTTATATTAAGAAACAGGAAGCAAGATAAACACTAATCAACACTTAAGGGTAAACTTTTCAGAACTACATTTTAATTATCTTTTTAAAGCTGGCTTTAATTTCCAGTCATGCACTTATTAAAAAATAAATGATTAATTGACGTTACAAAAGCTATAAAAACCGGGCATCTTAATTTCTAATAGTTATTAATTAGAAAAAATTAGCGAATTATATATATTTTTTATTCTGAACAATTAAGTACTAGTATTTTTGAGAAAATACATTGTGGTAAAGATTTTTTTTTTTATCAATTGAAAAATTCACATATTATGCATACTTAATAGATAATTTTCTTAATTTATATTTTTTAAATTATAATGGTAAAAGTTATCACAATATTAAATATATATTTTAAATATATATTTTAAGAGATTGTGACAATATATTTCCGTCACTTTCAAAGGAAGAAAAAAGGAATATTTATAGCAGTACCATTGCCTCTAAAAAAGCGAAGCAAACAAACGAAAATCTTTTCCAATAGACACGACAGGAAAACGCCACCATTTTTCTGATTATTTACAACAATTATTATCACATCGTTTTTAGTTATGGTTTTTTTTTTAAATATATTTGATTAAATTACTTTGAGATGGGTTTTTTTTATATAAAATAAATAAAAAATAAATCTTTATAAATAAAAATTATGTTATTTAAATTTTTACAAAATCAAGATTTGAAAGAAATAATACATGGGGTCAAAGGAAATCCCAGAAACGATTTATTTCTGCGGTTGGGAAAAAAAAAACCTTAATACCAAACGGTATTTAACTGGATGCTGTACTGTCTTCTACTTGTTTCTTGTCTGTCTTTGCATCCATGAGCTGTTAGAAACTAGGATTTCTTTTAGTTTCGACAACCACAAACTCACATACAGAGAGGGAGAAAGAGAGCAGATAATGATTTGTGGCGCCTGTTTACTTTTGTACTCCTTATCCTCCTAGATAACTAGTTCCTCTTTGTTGTCCCTGCCGAAAGCAGCAGAGGTTGAAATGAGAGAGAGAGAGAGAGAGAGAGATGATGGCTGAGCAAAGCAAAAGCAACCTGTCATTCGACCATGCACAGCTTGTAAGCATGAGTCAGTGCATCAAGAAGCAGTATAAAGACAAAAGAAATGATGCAAAAGCAAATTCCCTCAAATGAATAAATTTCAAAGGTGTACCAGGTGTGCGGCGTCTCAGTGAATCTTCTTGGACGGGTCTGAAAGTGCTTCTAGTTTGTTGCCTGGTATTATTGCTATGGCTAGTCGGTTTTTTTATTTTTTAAATTATAAATACTGGAATTTTCGTGTAAAATAGAAGATATTATAGCTGTATTATTTCTATTTATTTATTATAATTTGATAAATTAAGTTTATTGTGCTAAACAAATCTTGATTTTTTAGGTTAAGAACTCAATTTGAAAAAGTGAAATATCCTTAATTTTTTTATCAAATTAGATTTAGTATTTAAATCTCTCAAAAAAGTTATTATGGATCAAGATGTATTTTCTGTAAAAATATCTTAAGGTATAAGAGATAATAAATAATATTTATTATGTATGTTTGTAATGAAAGAATTGCTTATAAACTGTTCTAAAACTTCGTAGAGGTCATGAATATGAAGAATGAAGATGGTGATTAAGTTGATACGTAAGTGATAGTACTTTAGACTGATGCTCATTGATCATGGATTCGCAAGATAACCCACTCTGATTCTTGAGTTAAAGTTCGTAATTATATGCAGCTCTTATCAAATTAAAAAGAAAAAGAAAAAGAAAAAGAAAGAAAGAAAATCATAGAAAAAGGACGAACAAATTAAAGGTGCGAAGAAGCTTGCTTTCTCTCGGTGTATAATCTGTGGTAAAGTTGTTGCTTCCTTCTCACGGTAACAATCTCTTCCACAATATCACATCTAGTCTACCATTGATTTTGCTTATTTCCCTCACCACATTTCTTCTTCTTATTTTTTTCTTATGATCTCTGCTTCTTTTTCTGATTGAATCATCTGGAGCTCAACATCCTGCACATATCATCTTATTATACCATTCCCAGTTTTCCTTTCCCCCCTCAGTACGTACCATATCTCTTTACACATTCTTCTCTGCTCTCTCTGTTTTTTTTCCTGCATACAGCTCAAGCAAATTAACCAGCACACGAAGAACAACTCGAGTATAGGTAAGATATTTATACTTCAACTTCAATTTTTTTCTTTTTATCATTTTGATTTTTCACCACCTAACAACATTCTGAAAATTACTGGAAACGGGCTCTTTGAGTTGCCTTTGTAATATAAAGACTTGACAAGTCTTCGATCAACTCGTCGTGATGTCCATATATATATATATATATATATATATACATATATTAAACAGATTCTGTCCTTGATGTCCATCTTCTCACGTCAGTGTAACTTTGGCTACCCATTGCTTTCTCCTGTTTCAAATTGATTATACTTTCCACTTTTCAAATTTATAGTCCTATGATTGTTGTAAAACACTGTTTGAATTTTAGTTAAATATATTTTATAATATAAATTATAGCATTACCATCCGCTTTTGTTTAAAGTCGAATGTATTATTTTACATTGTCCTTCTTTACTTCATGTAAAATTCTTAATGTCAAATGTGGAATTTTATAGTTATGATATATGAATTGCTCTTCTATCAATATGTTTAAGTATTAATCAATAAACTTTTTGACATATTTAAGAAAATTAAATATGCATTGGATCCATCTTATCATGTATGGAATTGTTTTATTTTTATTTTTCAAATTAAAACTTTTCTATTCAATACTTTTATTTTTTTTCTACAGGAGAAAATGTTACGATCATATGATCCATTCTGGAATGATGTTGAAAAAATGGACGATGGTAGGATGGAGTGTAAGTTTTGTGGGCATTTATTTGCCAAAGGTACTTCCATTTCGAGGGTCAAATTACATTTATCAGGAGTGAAATGGCGGGGTGTTAAAATCTGTAAAGATGTCCCAGAAGAAGTTCAAGAAGCAGCCCGCGCAGCAATTGATGGCCCTCCAGCAAAAAAACTTAAAACTGTAGCAGGCTCAGGAAGTAACGATGCCAGTAATACAATTTCAGCTTCGGCACAAGAACAGAACAATGAAGGGAGACTTGTAGAAATGGCACAGCAAGGAGAAGCTTTTTCCCCTGGAGAGCTCGAAGAGTGGGTGGATAGCATCACTGATAAAGAGATTGAGCCTATGCATGATGCATTTGAGACTATACTGAGAACAGAACAAGTGCAGCATCTGGAGAGAGGCAGCTCTCTCGAGAGGCCATCAATTAATCAAGCTGATGAGCCTCGAGGAGATTCATCCCAACCAACAGATCCGTTGTGCCGTGACCATGGAATATATTATGATCAACTCTGGTCTCCATTAGTAAACAACGATTTCATTATGAATGATGTGCAGAAAATGGTTAGAGTGAGGACAGAACCAGAGGAGGAGAGGGGGGAGGAGGAGGAGGAGGATGTGGAGAATAATAGTGGAAGATCAGTGCAGCCTGGTGTAGGAGCTAGTTCTTCCGGAGGCCTTAAATACGACACCTGTGAGCCTAGAGGAGATCCATTGCCTATTGGATCTACAAGGCTAGTGGGTCAAGCATTTGAAGAGAATATACATGTGGTACGATCTTTATTAATAGATGATGAAGTATCAATCATTGGTATTTATGGAATGGGAGGAGTCGGTAAAACAACAATGCTGCAACATATTCATAATGAACTTCTACAAAGATCAGAATTTTATCATGTTTACTGGGTGACTATGTCTCGAGATTTTAGCATTAATAGATTGCAAAATCTTATTGCTAAACATCTTGATCTAGATCTTTCAAGTGAAGATGATGATGTGAGTAGAGCTGTAAAATTGTTAAAAGAACTAAGAAAGAAAAAAAAATGGATTCTTATTTTAGATGATTTGTGGAATTTTTTTAGACCACACAAAGTGGGAATTCCTATCCCATTGAAAGGATGCAAATTGATTATGACAACTCGATCAGAACGAATTTGTGATCGGATGGAATGCCAACACAAAATGAAAGTGATGCCACTTTCTGAGGGAGAAGCTTGGACTTTGTTTATGGAGGAACTTGGACATAACATAGCATTTTCTTCAAAAGTGGAACGAATTGCAGTAGCTGTTATAAGGGAATGTGCTGGTTTGCCATTGGGGATTATAACAGTGGTGGGAAGCTTGAGGGGAGTGGATGACATACATGAGTGGAGGAATACATTGAAGAAACTAAAAAAATCAAAACTTAGGGATATGGAAGATGAGGTATTCCGGTTATTGAGGTTTAGTTATGATCGTTTAGATGATTTGGCCCTACAAAAATGTCTCTTATATTGCACATCATTTCCTGAAGATCATAAGATTGAAAGGGAGGAGTTGATAGATTATTTGATCGATGAAGGAATAGTGGAAGGAATAGGGAGGAGGCAAGAAGAACTTGATGAGGGCCACACCATGCTCAATAGACTTGAAGACGTCTGCTTATTGGAATGGGGTAGATTGTGTAATATTCGTAGATTTGTCAAAATGCATGACTTGATTAGAGACATGGCCATCCAAATACTGCAAGAGAACTCCCAAGTCATTGTTCAAGCAGGTGCACAATTAAGAGAATTACCTGATGCAGAGGAGTGGACAGAGAATCTTACGAGAGTTTCACTAATGCAAAATCATATTAGAGAAATTCCTTCAAGTCAGTCACCAAGGTGTCCCCATCTGTCAACTCTATTACTAAGTCATAATGAAAGGTTGGGATTTATTGCAGATTCATTTTTTAAGCAATTACTTGGGCTCAAGGTTCTTGATCTGTCTTATACAAATATTGAAAATTTGGCGGATTCTGTCTCTGATTTGGTGAGTCTCACTACATTATTGCTTAAAGGTTGTGAGAAGTTAAGACATGTACCCTCATTACAGAAGCTCAGGGCATTGAAGAAGTTAGATCTCTCTAATACAATACTTGAAAAGATGCCTCAAGGCATGGAATGTCTATCCAACCTGAGATATCTTAGAATGAATGGATGTGGTGAGAAGGAGTTTCCTGGTGGGATACTATCAAAACTCTCTCACTTGCAAGTCTTTATATTAGAGGAGTGGATGCCTACTGGATTTGAATCAGAATATGTCCCAGTAACAGTTAAGGGAAAGGAAGTAGGGTGCTTAAGGAAGTTGGAAACTTTAGAATGCCACTTTGAAGGTCACTCTGACTTGGTAGAGTATCTCAAATTTCGGGATGAGAACCAATCACCAAGTACATACAAAATTTTTGTAGGTCTGTTTGAGGAGTTTCATCTTTTAGATAAGTACACATATTGTAGAGATAAAAGTGTTTGGTTGGGTAATTTGACTTTCAACAGAGTTGGAAATTTTCAGGACATGTTCTTAAATGACCTTCAAGAACTGCTGATTTATAAATGTAATGATGTAACAAGTTTATGTGATGTTCCATCCTTGATGAAGACTGCAACTGAACTGGAGGTCATCAGCATTTGGGATTGCAATGGCATAGAGAGCATGGTTTCATCTTCTTGGTTTTGCTCCGCTCCACTACCATCTTCATCTTACAATGGAATATTTTCGAGTCTTAAAAAGTTCAATTGTTATAGATGTAGAAGCATGAAGAAGCTGTTCCCTCTTGCCTTGTTGCCAAGCCTTGTAAACCTGGAACAGATTATAGTTTATGATTGTGAGAAAATGGAGGAGATAATATGTACAAGATCAGATGAAGAAGATGTTGTGGGTGAAGAAGAAAGCAGCAGCAACATCGAATTCAAACTCCCAAAGTTAAGAGTTCTGGACTTGTGTGACTTACCAAAACTTAAAAGCATTTGTAGTGCAAAGCTGATTTGCGATTCTCTCGAAGAAATTGAAGTGTCATATTGTCAGGAGCTTAAGAGAATGGAGATTTTTCCCCCAGTGCTTGAAAATGGCCAGCCATCTCCTCCCCCTTCTCTTAGAATATGTATATATCCAAAAGAATGGTGGGAGTCAGTAGTGGAGTGGGAGCATCCGAACACAAAGGATGTCCTTCTACCCTTTGTAGTGTTTTTATAGGAGATGACTCTATGCTTAATATTGAATTACAGGTAAGCATGGTGATTCCTCTCTCTCTCAATCTCTATCTACCTTAAATTTAATTTTAATGAATTAGCCTCAACCATAACAGCTTAATGATTGGTCAATCTAATGATTTTACTGGTATCATCCTAACCTTTATTGAAATATAACAGAAAGAACGTAATTTGGTTTGGATAGTTTCTAATTATTGAGTTTTTATGGTACTCACAATATTTTCTTGCTTCTTTTTCTGATGGGGATCTTCAAGCAGATATTGCAAGGCTAGTTGGATTTCGAGTCTAAGCCATGGCCTAACATTTCAGGCAGTGCCAGGGATCTCATAAGAACATGCATGAACATGATCCAAAGGAATGGCTAACAGCTCATGAAATACTGTGTAAGTGTCTTCAATTTGCTATATGTAAGGAACCATGCTAGGAGTATTAGGCTAAAACATGTTCTAGTGTAGTCATTACTGGTGGATCTTGCAATTTACTAGGTTCTGGATGACAGATAAAAAACAACTCTTGATTCTGCTGTTTTGTCACCTTATCAATTGGTTTAGTATGTACTACTAATATGGTGTATGTGCTTTTTCCAAAATACTTTTCAACTAAAAAGATAATAATTTGATGCTTTTTCAGGTGTTTTTCAATGATTTCGATAACTTCACATCAAAATCATCTAAGATAACTTTAAAAAACATCGATTTTGATATTTCAATGGTTCAAACACACTTTTGAAAGCACTTTCAACTGCTGTCCAACTAGCAATACCATTGGTTTAATATATAGAGTGGTACCATTTCTCTGCTGCTTTAGTTTTACTCAGTGCATGTTTTGAACTAGGATTGATGCTTTTGGAAGATATGGAGAGGACTTGTGAATGCAGAGAATATTGAAGGAAGGATATTGAAATTGTTCCCAGAGACATCTAATCCCTTCATCATTGGAAAGCAACCATGCATCTTCAAGAAATTGCCATTGACTAGATTGCAATTTCGTAGACACAGCCATTTTAACATAGGATATCCCAGTGAAGAAGAACTAATTGGCTTTAGATGAGATGATTACTGAGCTTGATTGTACGTCATTCTGCCATTTCACTGGAAACTTGCCAAGCTTCAAGACACCTTCAAACAGCAGACGCTCAAGATGCCTCGACATACAAATGCTACTTGGGAGATTGGCAAGCTTTTTGCAATATGTAACAGTCAGACTTTAAGCCCACTGATATTTTTTTCGTGGATGAATTATTTTTATAGCAGTTCCACTTACGCAAACTTTCTCAAAACAGGGCATCTCTTCCACAATATCTGGAAAGGCCTCCAGTTTCTCAGAGGCAGTAAGAAGTAGCGTGGCAAGAGATTTCAATCTGAATCTGCTGAGAAGTCTTTGGAAAATCTTACAACATCAAAGCAAATCTCCACAAAATCCTCAGAGGGTTGGGGTTTTCTAAATGCTTTCCAGCTAAAATGTAAGAGAGCACAACTGGGACATAGTTCCTCCATCTTGTGTAGTGTTTCCACTCCGTGGGGAAACAGAAAATGTTCATATCTTCTCGTAATAATGATTCTACTGTCTGTAACAAGGCAATCTATTCATCCAGCTAACATCATCAATGTCAATAAGAACCTTTTTAGTGCACAATCTGTCCCTTATCGCATCTATTCCTGAATAGAGATTCCCAGCTATAAATTTCTCTCCTGTATCTGACACAGAAGTGTTTCTTGTTGTTCAATTTTGCTTCGACATTTCTCTAACATTTGCAAGAAAGAAGCTGCTTTCAAATTGATTAGCAATTTTGTTGTAAATAGCTTTGGCAATAATTGTCCCTGCTCACCAACCCCCCTAGTCCCTGCCATGCAAAATTTTAAAACAATTTAATTAACACAAAAATAAATATAAATATAAAAGAAAAAAAGGCTAGAATTTTCCTCAGTTGATTTTTATTAAAGTTCTTACTTTAATATAAATACAAAGAGCTTATATTATTGAGGAATTCAGACCAATGGAGGCTTAGCATACTGACACGTGATTAGACAAACCATTTACATCCATAAAAGAAGTTAATATTATTAGAGATAGATAGAAAAAAGTTTACAACACATATAAAAAAGGAGGATCATTTATGTCACGACTTGATTTCTGGATCCATGACCGGTACATAAATAAGATTTCCTTTCAAGATTCTATACCTATACGAACTCAAACTTACATACAAACTTATTTATTAAATAACTCAATCAGAGTTCAAAGCAGCATTAACAATTAACTAATTTCATAATATAATTTAATTGTCTTAATACAAGAGTTAATATAATTTCATAGTTTTGGAGCACTAACTAGACAAAAAAGAAAGTTACAAATTTCAACTAAAAAGCAGGTTCGGAAGGTCCAATAAAAGTAACCTACTATCAAGATATAAGCCTGAAAATGTTAAATAATTAGAGTGTGAGTTCAACAACTCAGTGAGTAGCTAATGTTCAATACACACACATGAGGTAATATAACAATAAGAAATATATATATATATATATATATATA